CGGGTGCCGCTTCAACACCAGGTTCCGGACAAGGTTCCGGAGGGTTCTGGTGCAGATACCTCGTGAGGTTCCGGAGGGTTCCGGTGCGGATACCTGGTGAGGTTCCGGAGGGTTTCGGTGAAGATACCTGCTGAGGCTCCGGAGGGTTCTGTGCGGTTCCGAAGGGTTCCAGTGCAGATACCTTGTGGGGTTCCGGAGGGTTGCAGATACTTGTGAGGTTCCGGAGGGTTCCGGTGCCAGATACTTTGTGAGGTTACGGAAGTTTCCAGTGCAGGTACTTGGTGAGGTTCCGGAGGGTTTCAGTGCAGATACTTGGTTAGGTTCTAGAGGGTTTTGGTGCAGGTACCTGGTGAGGTTCTGGAAGTTTCCGGTGCAGCTACCTGATTAGGTTCCGGAGGGTCTAGGTGAAGATGCGTGGTGAGGTTCCGGAGGGTTCCGGTGCAGATGCTTGTGAGGTTCCGGAGGGTTCCGGTGCAGATACTTTGTGAGGTTCCGGAAGTTTCCAGTGCAGGTACTTGGTGAGGTTCCGGAGGGTTTCGGTGCAGATACTTGGTTAGGTTCTAGAGGGTTTTGGTGCAGGTACCTGGTGAGGTTCCGGAAGTTTTCCGGTGCAGCTACCTGATGAGGTTCCGGAGGGTCTAGGTGAAGATGCGTGGTGAGGTTCCGGAGGGTTCCGGGGCAGATGCCTTGTTGAGGTTCCGGAAGGTTCCGGTGCAGAGACCTTGTGAGGTTCCGGAGGGTTTTGGCGGAGAAGATGCTTGGTGAGGTTCCGGAGGGTTCCGGTGCAGATACCTTGTGAGGTTCCGGAGGGTTCTGGTGCAGATGCTTTGTGAAATTCCAAAGGGTTCCGATGTTTTTTACGGGCTAACGCCCTGGTGCCGCCGACCCCCCTTTAAGGGGGGGCATGGATTGAGCTAGCTCAGAACATGAAGAAAGCAGAGCAAGCACGACGCAGCATTTAAGAATATCACGGCATATCTTATATGCAGTTTCAAGACCCGTAACAGATAGGCAGATAGGCTCCTTGAGCCCGGCCTTCGGCCCAGTGGAACGAAAAGTGCCCAACAGCCAACAGCAGTTTCAAGACCGGTAACAGATAGACTCCTTGGGCCTGGCCTTGCACCCAGCGGCAGTTTCAAGACCCGTAACATAGATTCCTTTTGCCTGGCCTTGGCCCAGTGGAACGAAAAGTGCCCCAGCGGCAGTTTCAGACCCGCAACAGATAGATTCCTTGTGCCGGGCCTTGGGCCCAGTGGAACGGCAAGTGCCCAACAGCAGTTTCAAGACCCGTAAACAACCTTGGGCCCAGTGAGCGAAGAGTGCCCAGAGAGACTCCTTGGGTCCGGCCTTGCCCAGCACCCGTAACAGATAGACTCCTTGTGCCCGGCCTTGCGCCCGGTGGTTGCGCCCAGTGGAACGAAAAGTGCCCAACAGCAGTTTCAAGACGCGTAAGAGATAGACTCCTTGAGCCCGGCCTTCGGCCCAGTCCAATCGATGAAAAGGGCCCAACAGCAGTTTCAAGACGCGTAGCAGATACATTCCTTGGGCCCGGCCTTGGGATCAGTGGAACGAACCGTGCCCAACAGCAGTTCCAAGACCCGTAACAGATAGATTCCTTGGGCTGAACCTTGGGCCCAGTGGAACCAACGGCAGTTTCAAGACCCGTAACAGATAGACTCCTTGCCCGGTGGCCCAGTGGAACAAAAAGTACCCAACGGCAGTTTCAAGACCCGTAACAATAGATCCTTGGGCCCGGCCGTGGGTGCAGTGGAACGACAAGTGCCCAACAGCAGTTTCAAGAGCCGTAGACTCCGGTCCGGGGACAGGTTTGTGCCCAGCGGCAGTTTCAAACCCCGTAACAGATAGACCTGGAACTGGGCATGGCCTGGCCTTGGGCCCAGTGGAACGAAAAGCGCCCAGCGGCAGCTTCAAGACCCGTAACAGATAGATTCCTTGGGCCCGGCCTTGCGCCAGACCCGCAAAGGTGGGGTCCTGCATGCTGCCTTGCAGCGGCGGTGATCCCAGGCGCCTGCCCGCCTATGCGTCGGCGGATTTTTATGGCATAGGCGTTGAATTTTTATGGCGTATGCACTTTTTATGGCAAAAACGCAGAAGCTTTCAAGCCGTTGGGGATAGCACCTGAATTTATTATCATATCATTAATGGGATATTAAAGGGAAATAATGGGATAGCCGCACTAAATATTCACTTAATATCTCAGTAATTTTCAACTTTTCAGGTCCATCTCAAGTGTAAAGATTTTGTGCTTCCCGTTCTGAGGTGGTTACAGCCCTCGCAGGAGCTGCTGGCGGAGGCGAGTGCGAACGGTACTGGATGGACGTGGGATAACATGGGTGAAATCACTCAATGTTCTTTCTGTAGGGCTACTTTTTTTTTGCTTTCCAGCCTAGTTTTGTGGCTTTTGTGGCTTCTGTGGCTTTTGTGGGTACCAACCCTAAATAGCCCTAAATAACATTAAATAAACCCTAAACCAACCCTAAATAGATTTTAGAGAAACCTAAACCAAGTATAAACCAACCCTTAATAAACCCTAAACCAACCCTAAATAACCCTAAACCAACCCTAAACCAACCCAAAAAAAACTCTAAACCAACCAACACTATGATAGCATCCAATGCCACTATTTAGATCCAACATGGTTGTGCCTCAACAATCGATGAACAGTGCAAATGGCAATTTTTAGCTCCAAAAATCAGCAAAGTACAGGTTTTTGCTCCAAAATGTAGCAAATAACAAGGAAAAGTGCCCCAGACTGAAAACAAAATACAACCAAAATTTTGCACCCTTTTAAGTGGGATAACATGGGTGAAATCACTCAGAGTTTTTTTTTCTATAGTGTACATGTGTATGTATTCTATCATATATATATATATGTATATGTATATGTATATGTATATTGACGAATAAATATATATATATATATTCTACATATTGAAAATATATTCTACAGATATTGAAAATATATTCTACATATTGAAAATATATTATATTCCATATATTACATTATATGTATATATATATATGCACATGTATTCTATAGACTTATTTCTATATTGTTTTTTTACTATATCATCATTTGACACAGACTCTCTGGTCCTTTTGAACCCAAACCTTACAGTTGGGGGAAGTCTTCAGTAACTGCCTTCACCAGGTACCCGGGGACTCTTCTTACTGGGAGATCTCCTCAAATCTCCCGATCTCTGCGCTCGAGCTTCTTGGCTGCGTTTGGCTGTGCAGCAGTTAATTTGAATCAAAACTTGGGACAACTGCTGGAATAAATGTTGGGATAACTGGGATAGTTGTTCATATAATCGCAAGACTCAGTTGAAACTGTTTCAAACTGAAGAAATTGGGATACTTGTTTGTTGATTTTTTTCAGGTAGGTAGGTAGGTGGAATAGCATGGACTAGTATGGACTTCAAATTGTGTGCGTGTATGGGCATAGCACGCTAAATCAAAGATGTCCTCATCAGCTCATGTATCTGAAAAATAGATCAATCATGCAACGATACCTTCCCCCTATACAGTGATCCTAATAACGGTGGACCATAAGAAACAAAGTATAATGGATGATAAGGATGACAAATTCGTATAACCAACTTGATATCATAAAACTATACATTGTCATGTTGAGGAGGGCAACATGAAGATGATCCCAACGGCAGTGGATGATTGAATCATAAATAGCTATAAGTCCTGGCCAAGTTACACAAAGTAGGACCATCAAAAGAACTTGAACGTTTAAAGTGGTTTGTGTTTCCAAATCCAACGGTTTTATTGTCATAATCTTTTTTTTTCAAACGTGCGTTTCTGGGGCCCATTTCCGGGCAAGGAATCCATGATAATCCATGATTTCTTGGTTGGAGAAACCCTGAAATATCCACAGAAATGATTGGTGGGTCATCACGTTAAACCCCAAGGTTCATCAATTTTATTGTGCCTTATTATTGTTTATTATTGTTTATTATTGTTTATTATTGTTTATTATTGTTTATTATTGTTTATTATTGTTTATTATTGTTTATTATGGTTTATTATTGTTTATTATTGTTTATTATCATATTGTTCCTTATTCATCATAATTGTTTATTATTGTCCCCCCCATGACCGTCAGAATTTTGCAAGTTGTTCGACAATATTCATCATCATTGGTCCGCAAATAATGTATATGTCACACAAAAAACATTGGTTCCATCATCGTCGTCAGCATCATCATCATCATCATCATCATCATCAACAGTGTTATTTTCATTATCATTCTTCTTATTATTATTATTACTACTACCCTCTGGTTATTTAGCATAGCCATGGAACATGGTCCATAGAAATAGATGGTTTACCTATTAAAAATGGTGATTTTCCATGGCTATGTTAAATAACCAGATGGTATATATCACTATGATTCCCATCATTTTTCCCTTGTTTCAATGGGCTGCCCCAAACCACAGCCAGCCACAGGTGCTGGCCCACCTCTGCATCGGTTGGATCGTCCGCGGGGACGGCCCAGGAATTTTCCACCGGGAAAGGATTGGTTGAAAGCCTATAAAAATAATGGGACAAACATGGGGTAAACCATCAACTGGTGCAGGATTTGGAAGGATATGTTCCAGAGAGTTTTTTTAAGGAGAGAAAGTGTGAAATTTGAGCTCGTGACCCATGTTGGATTCCAAGTGAATGTGAAGAGAAATACAGACCACTCTGCGAAATGATGAAACGGACAAGAGTTTGAGACTCCAACCACGAAGGGCATGTCAGTTTTTTCCAAGTTCCGGTGGCATAGTCCTCATAGTGCCATCGCATGATGCCCTCCCCAAGAGCTGGAGATGGTGACGGAACACACCCATACAATACCCGTACCCTGTAACACTCAATCAATTTCCCAGACCCAGTTCATACATTCCAACATGAGCCATGAATAGCCAGGAGGCATGGTATGGCTTCAACCCATTTCATTATTTCAATTGTCTTGGTGAGGTCAGGAGGGCGCTCTAGATGCGGATGCCAGGGAGTACTGCTTGCAGGTCTACTGCCGGGCTGGGGCATGGTGCGGGGACCTTGTAGTTGAATGCACTCAATATGTTTTTTCTCTTCTATGTCATGCACGTTCTTTAACTTTCCTCATCCTTGAGTTCAGCTTCATCCTTGACATATCGTCATACCATAGCTATTTTCAATGACACGTGAGTCCTCTTGATTCAACGGGAGGGAAAGATCATCCAGCCATGGACCACCAGGCCTTGGCACCTTTGTCGGCCGAGCTGGACGCAGAGGAGGTGAGAGCCATACGAAAAGCCTTGGAGACAGGCGGGCCCGCGCTGTGGATGAGCAGATGGCGAAGGTGTGTGTCATCACTTATCATCAGGAAGTAAGTGGCAACTTGTTGAGTCATTGATTGCATGTTCAATCCAAATTTGGGGAATTCTGGTTGGTGTCCCCTAGCCCAGCCATTGCCCCCAGTTGGTGCTGAGATCAGGTTCCAAGGACAAGTCCACCGGAACGGCTGGGGCACCTCAATGTGCCAACAGAAACTCATTTCAGGGCATGGTACAACCGGCCAATGGGCTGGAGGTGCCAATTTTGAATCTGTAGCCATATCATGGACAAAGAACGCACTTTACGGTTCGATTTGAGAAAAGATGGGAATTCTTGAAGTCGGATGATGTTTCTGAGGACAAGTGCGAGTATGACGCTGATCTGATCGAACCTGTCATGAAAAATGCATTTGTCTGAACTCCAAAATCCAGTGGTGTATCATCAATTCTTTCATTCAATGGCCATCATTTGGGGTACATCCCATTTTCAGAGCCAATCTCCATGATTCATTTGTCACATCCTTAGTTTTCACGCTAAAATCCAACTGTGTCCTATATATATATTTATTGAATATTATTCAATATATTCAATATATTCATTTTTTATTCCATTGTATCCCTCCATAACATATTCCCATAAGAGATTCCCCATAAAACATGCCCATGAAAGATCCATCTCCATCCATCTCCATGTTGTTTCATGGATGGCCCGAGGTCAGCAAGACCATCCAACAGGACGAACTCTTGGACTGCGATCTCATGAACTTCCTCGAAGGGAGGACCAGCTGGGGTTTTGGGGGAAATTCGTTGGAAAATGCGGGAAACTCATGATCTTTTTACCATTTCATCCCAAGTCATATCCCAAAGATCATTGAAATCATTGGGGAGATTTAGGAATCTTCCGATGCGTTACTTGCCTCCGAAATCGATGTCAGGAGTCTTGATGCATTTGATCTTTTGGACCGGCCTGGCTGTCCTGGATTGCTGGAAAAACTGTGTAGTTGGGACAGTCCTGTGGCATCCCAAAATGACCCAACGAAGTTCATGGTGAGCAAATGGCATACTGGGCATACTGGGCATACTGGGCATACTGGTTGTTTCAATTTGATATCTGATCCCAACTGAAATTTTATCATACTTGAATTATCCTATAGCATTATAGTTTATAAGTTATAGTGGTTGATTCAATTGCCATATTTCTTATGTTCAACCTATTTGGAATGATGATCCAACTGACGAGCAAAAAACGGAGGTTCTTAGCCTGGGATCATGGGCGTCCTTGATCATCCAGGAACCACAGATGATTTGGGTCACAATAAAAAGAATGAGTAGGACATAAGTCGACAACAACTTACAAAAATCCCATGTTCATGCCATTTTCATGCCATTTTCGACATATATTTCTTGGAAGCAGCCTAACTCGCCTCATGTCTCGACTGTCTCGAGCCTAGGCACGGCCGGCAGCTGGGGCTGGCAGCCCTGGCGAAACATGTGCCCGAAGCGGATCAGTTCCCCTTGCAGATCATGCTCAAAGAGGCGAAGATTTTGTGCTTTTTTTGCGAAAACATCACCAAATTCACAGGGAAAGTATGATATAAATTTATATAATATATAGTATATATTTATCTTCTTTTCTACTTTTGGGCTGAGAAGATTGGGTACTTTGTGGTAATCTACCACTTTGCCAAGGGGAAAACACCGGTAAAATAATGTAGATTTAATAGGAAAACAGTCTACCTTGTTTCGGGCCAGTTTCCATGAATCCCCAAAACTTGAGCATCTTGAACCATGATGACCACAGCACCACCAAATGCCAAAAACTCATCGCTGGAGGCAACAACGGGTAACACAGCCGGATCTTTCGCTGCTTGGCTGTGCAGGGCATGATTTACAATGTGGTTTCAAGGATCCAACGCAGGAACCATCCACGTTTCTCAGCCTATTCCGGTTGGTGGATGCCTCACAAGGGTCTGATATGATTGATATGGGAAAGAAACTGGAGTGGCTAAATGTTCAAGATGACTAGAATCTTCTGGGTTCCATCCATCCATCCATCCGTATTTGTTTTTCCACTGAACTCTGAGGCTTCATTGCCCGAATCCGCTCCGCCAAGCTCTCGTCGAGATCTAGGTGGCCCTTGGGGTTTTACGTAGGGTACCCCCAAAATCCTACGTGGATTTTATCATCATCTTCACCATTAGATGGTCATCTTTAGGTATCCCACATGGAATATCTCAGAATATCTCAGCTGCTTCCTAATGATATCTATCTTGACACAACTTGTTCGTTCGCTCCTTTTTTTTTTTAATGGATCCCCTTTCAGTTTTTCGCTCACGTCCTGGATCATGGCGACACATCCATATATTGCCATCTCCAGCATGGACTTTCGCCAATAGCCTCTGGTAAACCAAGATAGATGTGGAAAATCCACCATTGTAGATCACTTTCCCAAACGGGTTTCCCCATGGGGGTTCCACATCTTTTTGTATGTTTACCCCAGGGCATGTCATCGAAATCAGGATCCGACCGTCGTTCCAGCGTGCCTGCTGCAGCAGGTGGGAAACCGTGTTTTGGCTGTACTCTTGTCCAATTTTTGGTTGGAAACAAGAACTTTGAAATATGTTTGGCACATAGTCACATAAACACGTGCCAGAAGTGGGTGAAAGGACTCAGTTCTTTGGAATTCGTTGGAGGCTGACAGGTGATTTGATGGGTTGTATTGGCGCTTTCAACACCTGCAGGTCAAAGTGTGGAAACTCTGGAGGTGGACATGTGGGAAGATGAGTTTGTTTGGTCAAAATCTTTGCCAAACAGGTGTCTCACTACGGATTCTACAGATACAACTTTAGAAATCTAGGGTCTTCTAGTAACAACGATGGATATGTCTGCATATTTGGGACCTTTCCAAGTGATCCACAAACTTAACAGGTCAATATTTATCTGAACGTAGGGTATCCCCGAATCCTGTGAGGGATCATCGTTTTCCCCATCAAATTGGTGATTTTGGATATGCCATTCTCAGACAAACCATGAGACATCCATGCCTTGGGACACGCGGAAGATCCCGGAAGCTCCTCCACTGGCCAAGGGTTCTACGCAAGGCCACAGGTTCCACTGACAAGCTGGAGCTGCCTCGTGCCACTCGTCAAGATGTCTGGTGGTTAGAGTTGAGAGTTTCCAGTCTAGTAAGGTTCTATAAATCAAGGTTTTGATTTTTTTCTGAAAATTTTCTGAAAAATTCTGAATCAAATTTCCGAAAAAATTCTGAAAAAATTGTGAATCCAGAGATTTTCTGCTGCCAGCCATTCAAAAATGAATGAAAACAGGTTGTTTTGCTGCTGTTTTCAAGCTGTTTTGCTGCTATTTTCAAACTTGTTGCGTTGCTTTTCTCGAATTTTGACGAATTTCAGAAATTTTTCAGAATTTTTTCAGAACCCTCAAATCTCTAGAAGTCTGGTTGTTTATGTGGGGAATTCCAAGAGGTTAGCTGCCGGGCAAAGTAGCGTTTCTGAAAGAATCAGCGCGTGCATCACCTAAGCCATCAAAAGTAGGTTTTGGGGCACAAACAATTGACATGATGACTTGTACACTACTGGTACATTTGTATCATGTCCATTGTCGATTATTTGGCTAGTCATTTTAAGCATATTTCTGTCCATGTATGTGTATGTTGTATGTGTCATATTATATGCGATTTCCATACTATATATATATATAATAGAGATCCGTATCGTGGACACTTTATATCATCCAGATATCCCTTTCTTTGTTGCCCGGGCATGTCATGTTATGGCCTTCTTTCCAAGGATGCTGCGCTTGTGAAGACCTTGGGGGAGATTTGTGGAGCCAAGGCGTGGCCGGGTGGGGAGATCTGCGATGATGGCCATGGCTGGCTTTCCTGCCAAAAATGCTGTGTTTTTAGTATGCATGCACACACATATATGTATATATATATGTTTATGGAAACATCTTGGAGAATTCGAGCAAAAATCATGGAACATCATGGAACATCATGGAACATCATGGAACATCATGGAACATCATGGAACATCATGGAACATCATGGAACATCATGGAACATCATGGGAAATCATGGAACACATTCATGTTTCAAAAGTAAACGAATTAATGAGCTGCGGCCAGGAGTTGCCACGCTTGCAAGTTCTCCTGGGAGAGGTCATGACGGTGGGAGCTGCGGCCTGTGGGGATGGTGGCCATTGGTGGCCTTAGTTCGTTCGTTTTTTTCTTTTAGGTACCCGTTCTGGTAGAAAACTGTAGAAAACTTTAGAATAGAAAACTGTAGAAAACTGTAGAAAACTGTAGAAAACTGTAGAAAACTGTAGAAAACTGTAGAAAACTGTAGAAAACTGTAGAAAACTGTAGAAAACTGTAGAAAACTGATTTACTTCAGAAAACTGGAGCAAAAATTCTGAGTCGCAGCTTCAGAAACTGTCCGACTGTCCAGTTTCACTGTCCGAAGATGTGATGACTTCGACCTGATGCCAGGGAGAAGATGGTGAACTTGATACGGCTCTTTGGCAGCAGTCTGGTAGCTGGTAGCAGTTCAGCAGGATTTCTTGAAAGGCATGGCAAAAAGCCAATATCCAGTGGAATATCCAGCTAAAAAAATCGAGCTGATATCCAGCTGTTCAAAACGGAATTCCAGCTGTGTTAGTAGTACCAATCTGGCGATTTCTGAGAACTTCACTAGGCCAGGTTCAGGAGATGTGTCTTGGAGAGTGATCTTTCAAGTCATCCAGTTTTCCCACTGATTAAAATAGTGTTTCAATGAGATTAATTATTGGATAATCTGATAATTGGATAATTCCAATGATAATAGTGTTGAAAAATAAGATATTCCAATGTTTATTGGGTATTTGGAACAATTATTACTACTAAGTTATCCTAATTGTCTAATTTTTTGTCAAGAAACTGCATAAGTCCAAGACGGTCACCACGACGCAGTTTTCGGCGATCCATGGCCCATGGCACTTCCCAGTGCTTCCATGGTCGAAGCTTTAGGGAGCTCTAGTTCCAGAGATGACTAAGTGGATCGGCTGTAATCTAAGTCGGATCATATCCATATGCCCAAGACAAAAAATGTAATGAATAGTTGGATATATATTGTATATATATATATAGCTATTATTGTATTAATATTCTAACATAACAATGATATTCTATATATATATGATATATATATGATATATATATATATATATATGATACCCTCTGGTAAACTAACATGTTGCTATGGAAAATCACCATGCTATTCATGGGAAAATCCACTATTTCTATGGTCATTTTCAATAGCTATGTTAAATTACCAGAGGGTATATGAACTATAATATAAACATTATGGTTATTATGGTTATAATCAGTTGTATATGATATATGGTTATATTATATTATATATACAAGATAGATGAACTATAATAAGATAATAATATAACCATATATAACCATATATAACCATATATATAACTGATATAAATTATCATGTTATATGCTGATATCTGCAATTGATATATATATATAGACAGTATAAAGATGCCACTGCTCCGAGGTCACCGCCTGCATCGTAGCCATCTTGGATCACTTCGTCTTGCAGTGTGAGGAGAAGGCGCAGCGGCCAGGGCGCGACGATGATGGTCAAAGGTTGGGTAAAGAACAAATAAGGAGTTCACTTGCAACAACAAGGGTATAGTTAGTATAGTCTATATAGTCTATAAGTACTATAGTTGTATAAATTGTGATACAAGGATGACATTTGATGATGGTTTCTTTTCAGTGATGGTATTGGTTGGAAGGGAAGGTTAAACCTATCTGGAGACCACTGAAACTCTGCGGTTTCTCAGTGGAGCCATGCGCCATGCTGCAGGAGTCAGTGGAAGAGCCGCATGTCAGGGCACCAATTTGGGATCGATCCTGGGGAAACCAATGGTATCTCCAAAAATCGTCCCCTTTCTGAGCCTTTCTGGACCTAGTGACCTAGTTGTACTCATCGGAATGGTGCTTTTTTGTTACCAAACTGGGGCATGTCGGGGCATGTCATCATGTTGTGGAAGCAGTCCTGCCACTTCTTTTTTTCAACACTGAAGTGTTGCACAAAGCTGTCAGAATCAGATGCGACCGCGGTGACTTCATCCTCAAGGATGAAGATCCCAAGACTAAGCCAAACAGTTGATATATGTTGATATGACTTTATTGTGGAATGTGAATTGCGACCAAATTTTGGGGTGTGTTTAAGATTGACCCCCCAAAAAAAGCATGTTTCCTTGGTTGAGAAACCCAACCCTTGAGGCTTTGAGCACCACCAAGAGAGGTTCTAAGGTGCTGGACCTGTGGGCTGTGACCCCCTTCAAAACAAGAGAAGATAAGGGTTTGAAGCTGTAGGAGGCCCCCAGATGCCAAAAAACAACCAAAAAACATATTTGGATCATTTTGTTTTTTTCCGACAGTGAAGCGATGGAGTGGAATTGGTGAAACTAGTGCTCCTATGTGCTCCTGACTTAGACTCTATGACACTTAGATATGCAACATGATGTAACTCTGTTAAGTATGTGAATGTGGCCACTTCAGAGACATCTGAAGTGACGAACATGTCGTTTGGAACCGAGGGTTCATGCCAGATGGAGTTGAGCCAACTTGCCGGGACTGGGATTCCTGTGTTGCATCGGTTCAATGAAGCCAAGTGGAACTTACCTGTCTTTTGTTCAGGACTCAAATCTGGTGTACTGCAATTCGGTCCCGATCTGGAAATTCCCTCACAATGGTAGATCCTCACTCATGAAGTTCATAATCTCCATGGTCTTCATCGTCATCGTAATCGCAATCGTCATCGTCTTCATCGCCATCGTCATCGCCATCGTCATCGTCATCGTCATCGTCATCGTCATTGTCTTCATCGTCTTCTTCGTCTTCATCGTCTTCATCGTCTTCATCGCCGTCGTCATCGTCATCGTCATCGTCATCGTCATCGTCATCATCATCATCATCATCATCATCCTCCTCCTCCTCCTCCACATCCAGAATCGCAAGTAGCATTGTAGCTGCCGGATGGTGATTTCTATGGATGAGCACTCATTTGCAGGTGACCTTCGCACCCACACGAGAGTGTCTGCGCAGTGTGGCATGGCCAGGGATGGGGGACTGCTACGTGAGATGAAGTGAACTGTGTCTATGGTCACCATCCTCCTTTGATGGGTAACGACCAGTTTCTGTGATGTGTCTTGTTGTTTTTTTTCCCCTTTTTAGAGTGGTTAAGTTTGTACGTTTTCCACCCTCGGCAAAGCGGGTGAAACCATCTATAAGGGTCACTCAGCGCATTCATCTACAACCAAGCACTCAACTGCTGCCAGCACCAAATGCTACTCTGTATGTAAATGTACTCTGTTAATCCAATTTGTTTGGCTGTCTAGCTATGGGTTTGCGTCATACTTTGTGCCCTCAAATCCCATCAAACTGTTTGTCCATGGTCTAGCTGTTGATTTCACTGGCCCATTCCCTTAGAAGTGCCAACAGCAAAACCTGGTCCTCCAAAGTCACTGCCAAGGAGCCTTCCAAATTGCAGGAACTGCAGCCTTTGATCGGCCAGTTGGAACGCCTGGTGAAGGCCCATCTGCCAGTTTGGGAAGCTGTAAGATTTCACCCGAAAAAACATTCCCTTGGTTAGAAATCTAGACGTTTAATGATAGTTTGATGTGAATTCCAGTTGTTTTGCAGAAATCTTTAAAACCTTGGCCGCATCCTGATTTCAATCTTTTGTTTCCATTAGCCAAGTGTCTGGAGGAATTCTAAAAGTAGCTGAAGGTATTCCATGATACTTCTATTTCGCTGGATAATATCAATATGGTTTTGGGTATGTGTTTTCGTACCAATTTCGTAGGTTGATGGTTTATTGATCATCTAAGTCTTCGATGATCTTAGGCGCTTCAGCTACCAATTCCCAGATGTTCTTCGTTTCCAGGGTGGTGCTGATGGCATGGTCCGCGGTGGCGTGGGCGGGGCTGCAGCAGATCAGCCGCCCAATGCACAGGTCTCGGTGGAGGAGGCGCGTTCTGGTGTCGGAGATCTGGATTTCATAGGATTTTATCGGGATAGCATGAGATTTGCTATATATATATATATATATGTAGTTTTTATGTGATGATGTAAAAATCCTTCTGATCATAGAAATGATTACATTGGTTACATCTCAAGTCTCAACTGCTTTTCAGAAGATCATGTCATCTGGTGCCCTTAAATGGATAGAATATGGACGTTGATATGTGGATCTCATGGGACTTTGATGAATGCATTTGCACCACATTGAATCAGATATCCGGATTTAATGGAATTTGATCGGGATGGAATGGGATAGCCAACAATGAACATGGCAACAACCTATTTGCAGAGATCCCCATATGTACATATCTTATGATCATGACATGAATATATCTATACAGTGTATACATATATAATATCTGGTACCACACCTTCCATATAGTCTGTGAACACCCGAATTAGTCTGTGAGTGGTTAATAGTCTTGGGATAGTCCTGTGTGAAGAGGCCCCAACTGGGTAGCCCCTGAGGTCCGTGTGCGCGCAGCGCGGATCCTGGTGCGGATCAAAGCGTCTTGCGAGGTGCCAAGCTGCATGTTCCCACCTGCTGCAGCTACCAACATGACCCAACGTTTGTTTGTTTCGCAACTCTTGCAGTATTTGACACTTTTGTGCAGTATTTGGAACTTTTGTATGCTTCATTCCCAACCTGCTAGCAATAGGGATTGGATGCTCCCTGATATAGACTTCCCACCACACTTTTATTGGCAGGCTGGTTGAAAGCGTATAAATAGTATTTATTGATAAGATAAAACCATATATAACCATAGAAAGCCATGGAAAATCACAGATAACCATATAGTTAACCCACTTATTGAACAGCATCCCACTGTCCAAGAAGTGGCATCAGTAGCATCAGTGCTTGGGAGATCCAGGTGCTAAGCACTGTGCCGCTGAATGACTTTGGTGTGGCAGCCCAGAAGCAAAAATTTTTGGGCGTTGAAATCATCGAATCAACTGACGAGTCAAAGACGTGGCGGGCTGTTTTAGGTCAGATAATGATCTGTTTTATCGTGATCTGAGTGATCCAATTGAATTGGGAGTAGCTGAGTAGCTATTTTCAGATAAACCCATGTGGGTGTATGGTTTAGACTGAACTGTACGAGCAAGCACTTGGGAAGTAACTGGAATCATTGGATGTTGCTCATGTTTACTCAGCATTGGATGCAGAACTGTTACAGTGGATAAATATGATTGTTCCACATCCAAAAGTGGAGCCTTGGGCTTTGGATTTTTTGATTTTTGGAATTAGAGGAATCTCATCTTCGCGTTGCAGACCTTTGAATTAGCTCTCCTTCGGGTGATGACGACTAGTGGACCGTGAGGGAAAGTTGTGAAACATAGAACCAGAAGCGTGCCGGTGAATTATTTGCCACCTTTGGACCAAATGTATTGAGAGGCTTCTATGCTCTACAATGCAACATGCGTGACATCTTGGGCTCAGTAAATCTACGGCTACTCTCAAGGCAGAAACGAGGTTCTGGTGGCACAATCCCAAAGAGTGCCCTATGTTGTGAATGGTTTGAGCAGTATGCTTCAATGTTGATGTCTTAATGGGACGATGATCTGCGATCCTTGCTCCACCCAGATATCTCAACCAATGATGGGCTCAATATCATTGCATATCATTGGATATATACATAGGATACATACATAGGATGTATTCACAATATATATACCGTTAAAAACAAAGTTAGAATGCGGTTTTGGCTTCGCGTGATGGTGGCCCGTTTGGCCCCCCCCCCCACGGCAGTCGCATTCTAACTGAGGAAACACCTGTAAATATGCAGAAACACAGTTAGAATGCGGCGCCAAAATTGGTAAGAAAATGTAAGTTTTGACTGGTATTTTACAGGCGAAATACAGTTAGAATGCCTCCTCCTTTTCTTCTATATTGTTCCTTGCCCTTCCTTTTCTTCTATGTCTTTTTCATTGATCTATATCTGCTGTAGTTTCCGGGGGGCATTTTGTCTGTTGTTTTTCTACTGTAGCCACATTTCTGACCCGCAGGGAACCTGGAGTGCCCTTGTCTCTTTTCCGCTCTTATCCGCTTCCCTTTCCTTGTCCTTTTGTTTCTATAATAGTCCTTTCCCTTCCTTTTCTTCTATGTCTGTATTCATTGATCTATACGTGCTGTAGTTTCCGTAGGCATTCTATCTGTTGTTTTCCCCGCTGTAGCCATATGTTTCTGACCCGCAGGGAACCTGGAGTGCCCTTGTCTTTTTTCCGATCTTATCCTCTTCCCTTTTCTCCTCCTTTTCTTCTATATTGTTCCTTACCCTTCCCTTTCTTCTATGCCTTTTTCATTGACCCATATCTGCTGTAGTTTCCGGGGAGGCATTCTATCTGTTGTTTTCGCCACTGTAGCCATATGTTTTTGACCCGCAGGGAACCTGGAATGCCCTTGTCATGCCCTTGTCATGCCCTTGTCATGCCCTTGTCATGCCCTTGTCTCTTTTCCGACCTTATCCTCTTCCCTTTTCTCCTCCTTTTCTTCTGTACTGTTCCTTACCCTTCCTTTTCTTATGTCTTTTTCATTGATCTATATCTGCTGTAGTTTCCGGGGAGGCATTCTATCTGTTGTTTTCCCTACTGTAGCCAGATGTTTCTGACCTGCAGGGAACCTGGAGTGCCCTTGTCTCTTTTCCGACCTTATCCCCTTCCCTTTTCTCATCCTTTTCTTCTATATTGTTCCTTACTCCTCCTGTTCTTCCATGTCTTTTTCATTGATCTATATCTGCTGTAGTTTCCGGGGAGGCATTCTATCTGTTGTTTTCCCCACTGTAGCCAGATGTTTCTGACCCGCAGGGAACCTGGAGTGCCCTTGTCTCTTTTCCGATCTTATCTCTTCCCTTTTCTCCTCCTTTTCTTCTATATTGTTCCTTACCCTTCCTTTTCTTCTATGTCTTTTTCATTGATCTATATCTGCTGTAGTTTCCGGGGAGGCATTCTAATTCTATCTGTTGTTTTCCCCACTGCAGCCAGATGTTTCTGACCCGCAGGGAACCTTGAGTGCCCTTGTCTCTTTTCCGACCTTATCCTCTTCCCTTTTCTCCTCCTTCTCTTCTATATTTATCCTTGCCCTTCCTTTTCTTCTATGTCTTTTTCATTGATCTATATCTGCTGTAGTTTCCGGGGAGGCATTCTATCTGTTGTTTGCCCCACTGTAGCCATATGTTTCTGACCCGCAGGGAGCCTGGAGTGCCCTTGTCTCTTTTCCGATCTTATCCTCTTCCCTTTTTCTTCTATGTCTTTTTCATTGATCTATATCTGCTGTAGTTTCCGGGGAGGCATTCTATCTGTTGTTTTCCCCACTGTAGCCATATGTTTCTGACCCGCAGGGAACCAGGAGTGCCCTTGTCTCTTTTCCGACCTTATCCTCTTCCCTTTTCTCCTCTTTTTGTGCTATCTTGTTCCTTACCCTTCCTTTTCTTCTATGTCTTTTTCATTGATCTATATCTGCTGTAGTTTCCGGGGAGGCATTCTATCTGTTGTTTTCCCCTCTGTAGCCATATGTTTCTAACCTGCAGGGAACCTGGAGTGCCCTTGTCTCTTTTCCGACCTTATCCTCTTCCCGTTTCTCCTCCTTTTCTTCTATATTGTTCCTTACCCTTCCTTTTCTTCTATGTCTTTTTCATTGATCTATATCTGCTGTCGTTTCCGGGGAGGCATTCTATCTGTTGTTTTCCCCACTGTAGCCATATGTTTCTGACCCGCAGGGAACCTGGAGTGCCCTTGTCTCTTTTCCGACCTTATCCTCTTCCCTTTTCTCCTCTTTTTCTTCTATTGTTCCTTACCCTTCCTTTTCTTCTACGTCTTTTTTATTGAACTATATCTGTTGTAGTTTCCGGGGGGGCATTCTATCTGTTGTTTTCCCCACTGTAGCCAGATGTTTCTGACCTGCAGGGAACCTGGAGTGCCCTTGTCTCTTTTCCGACCTTATCCTCTCCCCTTTTCTCCTGCGCTTTTCTTCGATTGTTCCTTACCCTTGGATATCTTCTATGTCTTTTTCATTGATCTATATATCTGCTGTAGTTTCCGGGGAGGCATTCTATCTGTTGTTTTCCTCACTGTAGCCAGATGTTTCTGACCCGCAGGGAACCTGGAGTGCCCTTGTCTCTTTTCCGACCTTCTTATCCTCTTCCCTTTTCTCCTCTTTTTGTGCTATCTTGTTCCTTACCCTTCCTTTTCTTCTATGTCTTTTTCATTGATCTATATCTGCTGTAGTTTCCCGGGAGGCATTCTATCTGTTGTTTTCCCCACTGTAGCCAGACGTTTCTGACCCGCAGGGAACCTGGAGTGCCCTTGTCTCTTTTCCGACCTTATCCTCTTCCCTTTTCTCCTCTTTTTCTTCTATTGTTCCTTACCCTTCCTTTTCTTCTGTCTTTTTCATGGATCTATATCTGCTGTAGTTTCCGGGGAGGCATTCTATCTGTTGTTTTCCCTGCTGTGGCTGTAGCCATATGTTTCTGACCTGCAGGGAACCTGGAGTGCCCTTGTCTCTTTTCCGACCTTATCCTCTTCCCTTTTCTCTTCCTTTTCCTCTATATTGTTCCTTACCCTTCCTGTTCTTCTATGTCTTTTTCATTGATCTATATCTGCTGTTGTTTCCGGGGAGGCATTCTATCTGTTGTTTGCCCCACTGTAGCCATATGTTTCTGACCCGCAGGGAACCTGGAGTGCCCTTGTCTCTTTTTCGATCTTATCTCTTCCCTTTTCTCCTCCTTTTCTTCTATATTGTTCCTTTTACCCTTCCTTTTCTTCTATGTCTTTTTCATTGATCTATATCTGCTGTAGTTTCCGGGGAGGCATTCTATCTGTTGTTTTCCCCACTGTAGCCATATGTTTCTGACCCGCAGGGAACCTGGAGTGCCCTTGTCTCTTTTCCGACCTTATCCTCTTCCCTTTTCTCCTCCTTTTCTTCTATATTGTTCCTTACCCGTCCTTTTCTTCGATGCCCCCCTAAAAGTAGATGGCGCAATTCCAAAACCGAAATACTCATAAGATGGCACCGCGCGGTGAAAAAGAAAACTGCGCTATTTTAACTAGAACATAAATCGAGTTCCGCCAATTGAAAAAAATCACCTCACTTAAAAATGAGAAGGTGGATGGCGCAACTCGTTTTGAGCCTATTTTGAGCCCGAAACCGACCCAAAATTCAACCTCAACGGAGCCATGCTTCCGTTGGGGTTGTTGAAATTTTAGGCCCGAAAGCCGCCAACAGAGCCCAACATAGCCCAACATAAGCCCAAAACCGACCCAACATTCAACCTCAACCGGACCACGCTTCGGTTGGGGTTGAAATTTTAGGCCCGAAAGCCGCCAACAGAGCCCAACATAGCCCTAAAATGGCCCAACAGAGGAGACTATATAGGCCCAAGAAGGCTCCAAAATGCGCCCAAAAAAACACGCGTAAAACAATAAAATTTTACGCGGGTTTTTTGTAGCCTCCAAATGGCCCAACATAGGCCCAAAACCGACCCAAAATTCAACCTCAACGGAACCATGCTTCCGTTGGGGTTGAAATTTTAGGCCCGAAAGCCGCCAACAGAGCCCCAAGTGGCCCAACATAGCCTTCTATGTTGAGCCCATGTTTGGCCAAAAAAACAGGCTCTTTTACGTCTTAAATCAGCGCCCATGTCCGGGCCAGATATGAGGGAGTTGCGCCATCTATGTGGGCATTCGCAGCCTGATTTTGGCGAATGAGTGGGAGTAGATGGCCCAAAAAAGCAGCTTGATTCGATGTTGAGAAAAAAACATATGGGGAGAAACCAGCGCAGAAGATTGCAAAAAATATCTCGTTTTTAGGGACATAGATGGCTCAACTGACCTGTTTTAAAGGGAGTTGAGCCATCTATCCCCCATTTTTTTTGTGACATAGATGGCGCAACTCAAGATTCTGAGCCATCTACTCTTAGGGGAGAGTATGTCTTTTTCATTGATCTATATCTGCTGTAGTTTCCGGGGAGGCATTCTATCTGTTGTTTTCCCCACTGTAGCCAGATGTTTCTGACCCGCAGGGAACCTGGAGTGCCCTTGTCTCTTTTCCGATCTTATCCTCTTCCCTTTTCTCCTCCTTTTCTTCTATATTGTTCCTTACCCTTCCTTTTCTTCTATGTCTTTTTCATTGATCTATATCTGCTGTAGTTTCCGGGGAGGCATTCTATCTGTTGTTTTCCGCACTGTAGCCATATGTTTCTGACCCGCAGGGAACCTGGAGTGCCCTTGTCTCTTTTCCGACCTTATCCTCTTTCCTTTTCTCCTCCTTTTCTTCTATATTGTTCCTTACCCTTCCTTTTCTTCTATGTCTTTTTCATTGATCTA